TCGCACGAGGGGCTCCCGGCTTTTCCAGGACGCGGCATTACGTAATCAAGGATGACTGATCGCCCTCGTGTCGCCAAGTAAGGGGGGGGGGGGAGAGGCAGACTCGTGGCGTCGATGTCGCAAAGAGTCAAGGAACGCAAGAATTTTCCGATTAAATACTCCGATTTTTCGGGATTTTTTGCGGCTAGTTGGGAGAAGGCTTGGTTTGAAAACTTTCTTGGAAGAGGACCACGGCGTGGGGATGAATCGGCGGCGACAGTGCTGCTCGTGGCAGGACGTTCGATAATGGGGCTGGTTCCACCTTTCGACCGGAGAGACGTCGAAACTTTCGAGGATGGTGTGTCCTATATATCTAATCTGTGGATAGACCAGCTGACCCTTTGTACACACTCCGTGTACAACTTGTACACGAATCCTCTTTCATTCAGAGTAAATCCGACCTGTTTCCGACCCTTAATTGGATCAATCGTGGTGGAGCACAGAGTTTAATCATTTTTTTCCATTCTCATATCTTTGATCTACGTAACCATTTTTATCTTCGATCGGGTTCAATTACCGATAAATTAGACGAAAAGTCTATCGGTTATTTCCGTGACGCAATACCGGATTTGGTCTCTTGAAAGAACGGTTATCACGATGGCGGAATTTCAACTTAGGAATTTGACGCGTGTCCGTTTCTTAGATGGTCGATGCCGGAGGATAGACCCAACTAAAACCGGCCGACTCGTGATCGTGGTTGATACGAAGGAAGACATCGAGTTGTCTATAAATAGAAGAAAAAAACGTCAAAATTTTTGAATCGAGTATGCAACGAAGAGTAAAAGAATACACGATAGACGTGGATGATGTTTTACTCATTGATACCAATGACTCAACGTTACTCGTCGATCAACGTCGTTATTTTTATTATTTTATTTTTCCTAATTTCTATGATGCCTGTGACGGCATAGTATAGTAATTATATCATCGTTAGAATGATACATTTAGCTGTAATAATTTCTTATCCGCTCGTTATTATTTTAATAACGATAATAAGGATGTTCGATGCGTCTCGATATAATATTTTAAAAATTTTCTTCCTTTCGAACAAGTTCCTTACGAATTTGAAAACAATTTTGTATCGAAGATATATTGGGAATTTATATTTCCATTATGATCCATTTTAATGACAAACGTTCGTACAACACTCGACACTAGTTTGGATTAATCGTGCATTAAAACTAAAATTTCGCGCGTTATAAATGAACTTGGAGTAAAGATACTTTACTTACGTACCAATATTGGACGATATGAATAACGTTGTATACCGAATAACGAAAATTCGCATTACCTTAATGCAATCGCGCATGGCTTAGCGGGAGAAGAGCGGCTCTAAGTCGGTCTCGAATCGATGCTATAACATCAGAGTCGATGTACATTTCCGTATAGGTAGATGTCCGGCTCGATAGAATCGGTGGCTTCGTTTCAAACATTTACTTCGTTGAACTGGAAAATTGAGGATACATTTTTTTCCCTTGGCCGGTAATTGCTCTCTAGTTCTTCCTCTTCCACTCCGTCCCATCATGTCCGAAGCTAGGGGCGAAATTGCGGCCACTTTTAATCCCATCTAAACGATTCACCCCTTCTTTAACTATTAATATTATTAATGACTCCCGATCGTATTTCGCGACGTAAGCCGGAACACGATTCATTCCCGTGAAATACGTTACGGAACTCGAATATATAAAACTATCGTAAACCGATTGAAAGCATCGAGACGCATTTGTGAGATCCAAGAATTGGTAATTTGTTGAAAGGAAAACGTCTCTCTTGTGTCGAATCCTTCGAATCGACGAAGGAAAAGAGATTAATGCGGAAAATAACTATAAATCAAGCGTGTTTCGACGGGTGTTTGAAAGAGGGAGAAGGAAAACGAAATATCGCTAAATTATAATTAAAATTTGAAAGCCACGAGGAAAGTGTATAAACGTATTATCGTTTGCGAGTTTAAAAATCGAGTCGGTGCTTTCCTTCTTCTTTTTTTTTCTTTCTTTT